TGTAACAGCAGTTATTTAACTTAGATATTTAACCAATGAAAATTAATTCAAAGAACAATTACAAAAGGAAGCACTTAGTTCATTGTATTATTAATGTATATCTGAAATCATAATTTCAATATACCCTTGAAATTAATAATAGGAGAGAAAAGCAAAGCACAACAATGACGAAACATCATTTAACTTGATACTACATTTGGCTCCTACTTACTTAACTATTATTTATCCTAGCCAAATTTTGGTTTAAAGTAAGTGTCAGAAGCTTTAATTATTTTTCAATTAAATTAATATGTATGCAAAAAAATCCTCTATTTAACAGTTTGTTTTTGCTAGTGTTGTCTGATGTGAATTTCTGAAATTACAGTGAACTTTAAAATAAAATATTTCACATACACTTTTATTTGTGCCAAAATGTTTTCAAAAGAAAAGGAAGTGGCGAATATATAAAATGGTTTAACTAGTTAAATAAGTTTTACATCTGCTACTATGTAAAGAAACGCTGAAGATGTAAAATTCACTTATATTTGGAATACATGCATAAGTACAACATACAATACGTTGCAACAAGAACAGTTTTAACTTGGGAGTTGTTCACGTATATAAAGAGTTAATCGTATTTATTTTTTGTCATAATGAATACAACCAAAATTACCATATCACGAAGTACTTTGGTAAAAATGGGTGTGTCTCCCCCCTTTTCTTTTCTTAAGGTGGAAGTTAACACCAACTCGAAAGTCGATAAATGAGTTTTCTTTACTGAAAGTAGTAAAGATAGAATATCGTTATTTGATGTTAAGAAAGAGAGTTTACTTACAAATTTGACGTGATGTATTCAGCTTTCCACAGGTATGTAGGAACGAAATGCAGCGCCGATTGAAAAACAATTTTTAGCACACGTGTACCATAGTTAGTCTATCTAAGCAGAAAGCGTAAGCCACCATTCATATGTATCACGTGACAGCTACTCTATGTTTCACTGGTAGAGTAAATATAGCTCAGTAAACTGTAAACGTTACTTGAAATAAACTACATTTTAGAAGATGCACATATTTTTAAATTTTAAGTGAAGCCCTGGTATATTTTAACTTAGAATTTTGTAAAACAAGTAAATAGTTAATATAATTATCTTAAGGTTCTATCAAATGGATTCTGTAACTTTAAAATG